GGATGAAACTGATTATCTGGACCCTGGCTGGAAGAGGCTGGCTGGGCTAGGAGTTGGTGGCACTGCTTTGCAGTGGTTCCACTCCTACCTGTCTGGCTGATTCCAGAAGGTGCTGCTGGGGGACTATGGCTCTGCACCATGGCAACTTGCCATGGAGTTCCGCAGGGTTCCATTTTGTCCCCCATGCTTTTTAACCTCTACATGAAACCACTGGGAGAGGTCATAAGGAAGTTTGGGCTGTGGAGTCATAAGTACACTGATGACACCCAGCTCTACCTTTCCTTTACATCTGCTCCAGGTGAGGTGGTGGCTGTACTGAACCACTAACTTACATGTATACATTCACATTCAGGTATTACTAAAAGGTAAATAAAAGTTAAATACAGTGAAAAGGAGAGCTATACTGACTCAGTCTGCCCTCCAAGATAGACTAATCCAAGCCCTCACACACAACACAAACTCTGTTGTTATGATGCTTTTTCTTTAAACCAAACAAGGAAAAGGCCACCCTTCAAATAAAGGATTGTCCTTTGTAAGGCAGGACACCTGGGCATCCTACAAAGAATGCTACCCTTCCCATCCCTGCTCTATTTTCTTGTAGTTTCACTACCTCTTAGTGGTGGCTATCTGGGCCACAGAAAAAGATTCTGTGAAGAGACCAAGTCATTGGTCCTTCTTGTTTATTCTTCTTAAATGCGAGCTCAAAAGCTGACAGCAACTTTATAAGGATGCTATGACCATTTCCACAAATTTTTACAATGCTCTTGATTTTGGGCTTCACTTGAAGGACAGAAGAAAAAATGCTTTATGGAAAGGGACAAAAAAATGGAAGCAAACAGAAGAATAGAAAATATTTTCTAAAACGTGATCCCTGAAATTTGACAAACAAATTTAGCACAGAAAACTTGGTGGGATGAAAGGCAAGTCTGGAATGTAAACACAGAAGGGTATCACCTTTTTAGAAAGGACAGGAAGGGAAAGAGAGGTGGGGGCGTGGCTTTATACATCAGGGAAGGGATAGGATGCAGTGAGATAGAAAGCAGCACAGATGGGGATTCGGTAAAGGCAGTCTGGGTGAAACTTAGGGGTTTTGACAGGGAAAGAGACCTGACAGTGGGGATATGTTATCGCCCTCCAGGTCAACTTGAGACCCTGGATGATGTCCTGACAGGCCAGATTCTAAGGATATCTCGGGGGAGAGACACAGTAATTATGGGAGATTTCAATCTCCTGGATATTACTTGGGAGACTCACTCGGTGACAGCCAGGTCACGTTGCTTCCTAGAAGCTATAGAGGGAGGGTTTTTCACACAGAGGGTCTGAGAGGCAACGAGGGGGGGAAACATCCTTGACTTGGTCTTGACCAATAGGGAGGAGCTGATAGATGAAGTACAGATTAGGGGAGCTCTGGATGCGAGTGATCACTCCATCCTTTGCTTTGAGATCAGGGGACTGGGGACATGCAGCAGGTCGAGCACTAGAAGCTGGGACTTCAAGAGGGCCAACTTTGGCCAACTGAAGGCCAGACTGGGGAAAGTCTCCTGGGATAGGTTACTGGGAGGTAAGCGAGTTGAGGAGGGGTGGATAGCACTCAAAAGGGAGGTTTTGGAGCCGCAAGCCTTGACGATACCTCTAGTCAGTAAGGTGGGGAAGCGGAGGAGAGTGCCGCCATGGATGCGAAAGGAGGTGGTTAGAGGGATTAGACGAAAGAGGAACCTCCGTAGGAAATGGGTGCTGGGGGAAATAGACAAAAGGGTATACCGGGAGGAGGAGGCCTGCTGCAGAAGGATTCTTCGCGAGGCTAAGGCTGATTACGAGCTGAGACTTGCCAAGAATATCAAGAACAACAAAAAGGGCTTCTTTCAGCATGTAAATAGGAAGAGGAAGGGAAGACAAGTGGTGGGACCACTAAATAAGGGGGAAGGAGATTTAGTGACTGATATGAGGGAACAGGCACAGATGCTAAATGACTATTTTGCCTCTGTGTTCTCCCCAAAGCAGGATGGGGGATATCCGCATGGGAGATTAGATGCGGCTGGGGACTTAGGGGCACAGATTAGAGTCACCCCCCTTGAAGTCGAGGGGCTCCTCAGGGCATTGGACATTACTAAGGTGCCAGGCCCTGACGGGTTACACCCGAGAGTACTTAGAGAGTTGGCAGGGGTTCTCTCACGCCCGCTGGCCTCCATTTTTGAGGCCTCATGGAGAACGGGTGAAGTTCCAGAGGACTAGAGGGTGGCATCAGTGGTCCCAATTTTCAAAAAGGGTAGTAGAAAGGACATGGGGAATTATAGACCTGTTAGCCTTACGTCCATTGTAGGAAAAACAATGGAAAGGCTCATAATAGAGAGAGATCTAGTGATGCTAGATAGGGAAGGGAGGCTGACAGCCACACAACACGGCTTCCGCAAAAACAGGTCCTGCCAGACAAACCTTGTGGAATTCTATGACAAGGTTTTGAGATGGCTGGATGGAGGGGATGCAGTGGATGTGGTATACCTGGATTTCAGCAAGGCCTTTGACAAAGTGCCCCATGAGATCCTGGTGGAGAAACTGAGGAGTTTTGGGATACACCAAAGCACTGTCCGGTGGATTAGGGCATGGTTGACTGACCAAAAGCAGAAGGTAACCATTGATGGGGAATCATCGGGATGGCAGCCAGTAACAAGCGGGGTCCCCTAGGGCTCTGTCCTGGGGTGGATCCTGTTTAATCTTTTCATTAACGACATGGAAGAAGGGGTGAACAGTCTGCTGATCAAATTCGCAGACGACACTAAAACTGGAGCAGTGGCCACAACTGAGGAGCAGGTACTCCAGATCCAAAAGGATCTGGACAGACTATGGAAGTGGGCAGGAGGCAACAGGATGGCGTTCAATGTGGGTAAGTGCAAGGTCTTGCACTTGGGGCATAGGAATAGCTGTCATAAGTACAGGTTAGGGGACAAGTGGCTGGAGAGCAGCACTTGTGAAAGGGACCTCGGGGTGCTGGTTGACTGCAGGCTAAACATGAGTCAGCAGTGTGATGCGGTGGTCAAGAGGGCAAACGCCACCCTTGGTTGCATAGCCAGAAGTGTGGCTTCTAGATCAGGAGAGGTATTACTACCACTCTACACGACTCTGGTGCGCCCGCAATTGGAGTATTGTGCTCAGTTTTGAGCCCCTCATTACAGAAAGGATATAGCCAGGTTGGAGTCAGTGCAGCGCAGGGCCACAAGGTTGGTGGCCGGTTTGCAGGGGATGGGGTATGATGCGAGACTGAGGGAACTGGGTCTCTTCAGCCTGGAGAAGAGGAGACTCAGAGGGGATATGTTGGCGACATGCAGGTATGTGAGGGGGTGTCACATGGAGATGGGTAGAGACCTGTTCTCCCCTGCAGAGCAAGGCAGGACACGCTCCAATGGAGCAAAGCTCAGGGAGCCAAGGTTCCATTTAGATGCCAGGAAGCGCTTCCTGACAGTCAGGACCCCGAGGGTGTGGAATGGGCTTCCACGAGAGGTCATTGAGGCCCCATCGGTGCGGGTGTTCAAGGATAGGCTGGACGTCCACATGGGGGGCATGTCGTGAGCGGAGCCGGCTGGTCCCAGAGGTCAGACTAGATGGCCCGGGAGGCCCCTTCTGACTCGCTGTTTCTATGTTTCTGTGTTTCTAAATAATTCAAGCTAGAGATACCCCATGCAGCATTCCAGAAACTGCAGATAACTTGCCTTCACTTGATTAGTGGTTTGAATGTTTAGATTTTATACTGTGATGGACTCCCTACTCAAAATGAGTATTTTCCATCTTTCGTCCCAAGGTGTTATTCCACTGCCTACGTCTAGGTCAGGCATGCTGTCTGGGGAAGGACTACAAGAATGTGGTAGAGGCATGGCGGAAAGGCCTTCATGCTTCATCTCTAGAATCTGCGTGGTGAACCAGGCCACCTGTGTTCCTTCTCACACCCCCTTCTCACACCTTCAAGAATGCACAGAGCATGGTTGGGATTATGCCCTCTAGCTAACCTCCTGGCAGCCGTGCATGAATGTGAGGGGCTGTACATGCATGCATGCAAACTCATACCTGGACCAGGGATCATTTTCTCCTGGGGGATCCTCATGTGTGTAGACCTGTATGTGTTCACAGCTCCTTCTCATGTGCAACACATGGGGACATAGGAAGCTGTCTTCCCTTGTATCAGCTGAGTGTTGGGGACACGGATTGGCAGGGGTTCTCCAGAACTTCTGGCAGGAGTTTTTCCAACCCTACCTAAGATGTAAAGGACTGAAGCTGCGACTTGCTGCAAGCACCACTGAACCTTGGTCCTTCCCCATGTGGCCGGTGGATGTGTTGACTTGTGAGCAGTAGGAATACTTGAGGGGATAATCCGAACATGCATTCATGCGGAGACTCATTCTGTGTCCTCTATCAGAATTCTTTGCTCCATATCTTATGATCTACCTCTCCAGCAATGGGCCATGCAAATGCACCAACGTGACCATGTGTCTTACTTTGCAAGTGCCAGTCCTCTGTTACAAGGCTATTAGAGGACGGTCCTTTTTAATTATTTTTAAAAACCACCCTCTCTTTGAAGGGCTGCCTGGGCCACATCTGGGCCACGTAAAGGCACAGAAACATCGGGATAAATGGGGCTCTGCAGATGCCCTTCAACAGCAAGCAGACTGGAAGGACACAACGTTGCGCACGGCATTTCTCTTCACATTTATGAGATGCATTATGTTTCTGTTTCAGGTATAGTTCTTACCTCTATGTCTGTATCATTAGATAAAAATCAACATAAGCAAATGTTATTTGACTATCCTATATCCTACACAGGCAGTAAGAAACAGAGAAGACAGATATCCAATTATTTGCGATTGAGTTTATCTTACCCATGATCATAAAATTCACATCTCTTTCAAAATTTGGGCTTGTCATGTGTTTGGTGATTAAAGTAAATGTATGACAGGCCTCTCAGTTAATGTTTAAATGGATAGTCCATATTCCTACTGAGGTTTCATTGGTATAAATAGCAGAGCATGAAACAGCATTGGCCTGCTGGAACACTGGAAGATTCTGTGCAAGTACTGTAAGTATTTGTGACTTCTCTTTTACTGTGTGTGTGTGTTACATGGCATACAATTTATTAGATACTGACACTTCATTTTTATGTGAGTATCTTTGCAACTGCCTACAACTTTAATAACAAATGCTTCCTATTACAAGAACAATAGCAATTAACTTATTGCGCTTAATTGTCTATGAAAATACATCTTAACTAGAGTGGTCCACAAATGATCTCCAAAATTCTCCAAAATTTTGTGGGCAAAGACATTTCATTCAATTTCTTCAGGCAAATGTGAACACAGAATCACAGAATTATGGAATAGTAGAGTTGGACGGGGCCAAGAAGGCCACTGAGTCCAGCTCGGGCAGGTTAAAACATCCCTGACAGATGGCTGTCCAACTGAGTGCCCCCTGGGTGGGAAAACCCATGGCCTCCTTCGGTTATTGGTTCCATTGTCATACTGCTCTAGTGGTCGGGGGTTCTTTCTGATGTCCGGCCAGAACCTGCCTTCCTGTACTTTTACTCCATTATTCCATGCCCTGCACTCTGGGATGATGGACAAGAGATCCCGGCTTCCTCTCTGTGATAGCCTTTCAAGTACTTGTAAAGTGCTATCACATCCCCGCCCCCCCCCACCACAGTCTTCTCTTCTCAAGTCGGAACATGCCCAGTTCTCCCAAATGCTCCTCACAGGGCTTTGTGCCCATTCCCTGGATCACCCTTTTCTCCCTCCTCTGAACCCTTCCTAGTTTGTCTGCATCTTTTAAACTGTGGTGCCCAGAACTGGACACAGCACTCCAGAGGAGGTCTGACTAGTGCAGAGTATAAAGGAAGGAGTACTTCACGGGCTGCGGTAGTGATATTTTCATTAATGAACCCTAAAATAGCATTTGCCTTTTTTGCAGCCGCATCACATTGTTGGCCCATATTCGGCTTGTGACCTACAACCATCCCAAGGCCATTCTCACTCATAGGATTGCTGAGCCAAGTATCCCCCATCTTGTAACTGCACATTCGATTCCCTTTTCCTAGCAGCAGAGCTTGGGCATTCGCCCCCACTGAATTGCATTCTCGTACCCTAATTGATCTCCGAGGGCTCAGCGATCCGCTGGCAGGGGCTTTGTTTCTTGCACGGTCACTGCAAGTGGCAGCAGCGTTCCGTGTTCTCGGGGCGCCATTTCCCACTTCGCTCCAGGACTTCATGTTGAGGGAGAGGGAAAGTGGCCACTACCCAAAATTGTGACGAAAATTAGAAAATTCTGCATGCTGCTTTTTTAAAAATTATGGAACAATTCTGAGAAAACTGTCAAATAGTCACTTTTCAGAGTTCAGCACCTCTCGGGTCTTCCATCAGTAACATTTCTGACCCATGAGGGTGAATTCTCTCTAATGCAGATGTTTATAGTACCATTATGTCTCCAAGTACATTTGTTTCAATAAGACGCTTCATCTATTTTATTTGCATTGGAGTGAAGGAAAAGTCCCATTCATGCCAATGAAAACTTCCCCTTCAAAGCAAAAAGGAACTACAGGGCCCCATCAAAATCAGGAATGCTCTAAGAAGGTAACCTGTTTCCCGAGGAGCAAAATATTCTGTCCACTGAACTAAAAAAGCCTTTTCTGTGAGGAAGGGGCCTGCAGAAGTTCCCACCCTAGTTCTGGAGAGGAGAAGGCCAGTACTTCTTGCAGCCTCGAGAAAGCAATGCCCCTGTGGACTTACAAATAATGGAAAACAATAGAATGCAGTCAGTATTTAGCTCACCGGTTACTGCCAAGGGGCTTGGAGCAGCCCTGACTGGGATTGCCAAAACATGTCAAACAGGAGGCCTTCCTTTGGTCTTTGTTAACTCCAGTTCTTATTCGATGCAATAGGAGAAGTAGTGCAGCATGGGTCTGTTCCCCAGTTCCCGGAGTCTAAGCACTGTAAGAGCTGCATCTTCAGCCTCCCCCCCCACCACCTCATGTTACTTTTCCTGACCGCCCTCCTCCTTTTCTGGAACATCCAAGGTTTTTAGTGGCTGTCGACCAGCCACAGCCCCTTCGGCCTCATTCTCCCTTTCCGAGCCAGTTTGCAGCTGCAATAAGGGTCTGAACTGGTCTCACTACATGGCAAGTCGCCCTGGGAAGCGGTGATGGCCACCAGTCTGGATGGCTTTAAAAGGGGATTGGACAGATTCATGAGGGAGGAGGCTATCCGTGGCTACTAGCCTTGCTGGTTATATGGTCCCTCCTTGACCAGAGGTGGCCTGCCCGCACACACCCGTTGCTGAGGAGCTGGGCAGGCAGAGCCCTTGCCCCCATCCGGCTTGAGGGATCCCATGGGCAGCTGCTTTGCCACCGTGTGTGCTGAGTGCTGGGCCAGAAGGACCTCTGGGCTGAGCCAGCAGGGCTCTTCTTCTGTTCTTCCATCCACCAAATAGTGAGCGCCAGAGCGCCAGAGTGGTGTCGTGGTTAAGAAGAGGGTGGGACTGGGACTCAGGCAAACTGGGTTCTAGTCCCCTCTCAGCATATTGGGTGACTTGGGCCAGTCACAGACTCTCAGCCCAACCTACCTCACAGGGTTCTTGCTGTGAGGGTAAGCTGGAGAAGAGGAGGAGAATTATGCAAACAACCCTGAGTTCAGTGGAAGAGACAAGTCAGGATATAAATATAACAATATAATAAAATAATAAATTGGGCAGGCCGCTATTAGCCTGACTCTGCTGGAGGAAATCCTCACTCTTCCTATACGCCTAGTAGCCTAGTAGAACCCCTGTGTCTGGGTTCCCAGGGGCATGACAATGACAGTGGCATGGACAGCAGGGACAAAAGCAGTCAACAATTGGCCGTGCTGGGTGATACAGGCCTGCATTTGGCCCACCTCTATTTTAGGAAAAGGTCCCAAGTGGCTATAATTCTTGACGTACAGATGGGGAAAGAGATTGAAAAGGAGTGCCTTCTGCCTAGCCATAAATGGTTAAACCTAATTCTAGATCCTGGGTTCTGTCAATGTATGTGATGGTGCTTCACAAGTATGCCTTGCCTAAAGGAGTGAGATGCACTAGACCAGGGATGGCTGCATAGCGCATAAGTACATACATGACCAGTATGTAAGCATGCATGGCAGATGCGTGCAAACCATGGGATTCATATCTGTACATTTGGTGGACTAATCCCATGTTACAGTTTTCCTGATTGCACTTTGAGAATGTCTCTTCTAGGGTTGCTTCCTTTCATGTTGGCCTGCAGCAGCAAAGATGCCCAGAAGACCTTGAGTAGGAACCAAACTTGGAGTCCTGCATTAAGCAGGGGATGGGACTGGATGACCTCTGGCCCATTCCAACACCACACTTCTATGAACTCATAGAAAAATAGAAGCAGAGCAAGTCAGGAGGGGCCTCCCGGGCCATCTAGTCTGACCTCCGGCACCAGCCGGCTCCGCTCACGACATGCCCACCATGTGGACGTCCAGCCTATCCTTAAACACCTGCACCGATGGGGCCTCAATGACCTCTCGCGGAAGCCCATTCCACACCCTCGGGGTCCTAACTGTCAGGAAATGCTTCCTGGCATCCAACTGGAACCTTGGCTCCCTGAGCTTTGCTCTGTTGGAGACCGTCCTGCCTTCCTCTGCAGGGGAGAACAGGTCTCTACCCATCTCCATGTGACACTCCCTCACATACCTGTATGTCGCCAACAGCTCCCCTCTGAGTCTCCTCTTCTCCAGGCTGAAGAGACCCAGTTCCCTCAGTATCACCTCATGCGGCATCCCCTGCAAACCATCCACCAACCTTGTGGCCCTACGCTGCACTGACTCTAACCTGGCTATATCCTTTCTGTAATGAGGGGCTCAAAACTGAGCACAATACTCCAGTTGCGGGTGCACCAGAGTCGTGTAGAGTGGTAGTAATACCTCTCTTGATCTAGGAGCCACACTTCTGGCTATGCAACCAAGGGTGGCGTTCGCCCTCTTGACCACCGCATCACACTGCTGACTCATGTTTAGCCTGCAGTCAACCAGCACCCCAAGGTCCCTTTCACAAGTGCTGCTCTCCAGCCACTTGTCCCCTAACCTGTACTTATGACAGCTATTCCTATGCCCCAAGTGCAAGACCTTGCACTTACCCACATTGAACGCCATCCTGTTGTCTCCTGCCCACTTCCATAGTCTGTCCAGATCCTTTTGGATCTGGAGTACCTGCTCCTCAGTTGTGGCCACTGCTCCAGTTTTAGTGTCGTCTGCGAATTTGATCAGCAGACTGTTCACCCCTTCTTCCATGTTGTTAATGAAAAGATTAAACAGGATTGGCCCCAGGACAGACCCGTGGGGGACCCCGCTTGTCACTGGCCGCCATCCTGATGATTCCCCACCAATGGTTACCTTCTGCTTCGGTCAGTCAACCATGCCCTAATCCACCGGACAGTGCTTTGGTGTATCCCAAAACTCCTCAGTTTCTCCACCAGGATCTCATGGGGCACTTTGTCAAAGGCCTTGCTGAAATCCAGGTATACCACATCCACTGCATCCCCTCCATCCAGCCATCTCAAAACCTTGTCATAGAATTCCACAAGGTTTGTCTGGCAGGACCTGTTTTTGCGGAAGCCGTGTTGTGTGGCTGTCAGCCTCCCTTCCCTATCTAGCATCACTAGATCTCTCTCTATTATGAGCCTTTCCATTGTTTTTCCTACAATGGATGTAAGGCTAACAGGTCTATAATTCCCCATGTCCTTTCTACTACCCTTTTTGAAAATTGGGACTACTGATGCCACCCTCCAGTCCTCTGGAACTTCACCCGTTCTCCATGAGGCCTCAAAAATGGAGGCCAGCGGGCGTGAGAGAACCCCTGCCAACTCTCTAAGTACTCTCGGGTGTAACCCGTCAGGGCCTGGCACCTTAGTAATGTCCAATGCCCTGAGGAGCCCCTCGACTTCGAGGGGGGTGACTCTAATCTGTGCCCCTAAGTCCCCAGCCTCATCTAATCTATGTGGATATCCCCCTGCTCTGGGGAAAACACAGAGGCAAAATAGTCATTTGGCATCTGTGCCTGTTCCCTCATATCAGTCACTGGATCTCCTTCCTCCTTATTTAGTGGTCCCACCACTTGTCTCCCCTTCCTCTTCCTATTTACATGCTGAAAGAAGCCCTTTTTGTTGCTCTGGATATTCTTGGCAAGTCTCAGCTCGTAATCAGCCTTAGCCTTGCGAAGAATCCTTCTGCAATGGGCCTCCTCCTCCCGGTATACCCTTTTGTCTATTTGCCCCAGTACCCATTTCCTCATGGAAACTCATGGAACTATTGTTATAGTTGTGAACCTCACAGCAAGTTTAACTCTTTCTCATTCTCTTTCCTTTACTTCACAGAACAATTGACAAGAAGAATGAACTCTGCCATCTTTCTGTGCCTGGTCTTGGTTGGCCTTTGCAGTGTCACTCATGGGCATCATGTTCCTGTTGAACTCAATAGCACCGCTGCGCCGGCTCTGAAGCTATCTCCTGCCAATACTCACTTTGGTCTTGAATTGCTAAGGCAGATATCTTCAGCATCGCCAAGCAAGAATGTGATCTTCTCACCCATCTGTATCTCCAGTGCTATGGCACTTCTAGTAATGGGAACAAACTCCGATTCCCGGACACAGATTCTAGACACCCTTGGTTTTAACATGACAGATATCCAGGAGAAGGAGATCCATGATGGATTTCATAACCTCTTTGCTTTGTTGACCCACCCAGATAACCTGTTCCACCTTGACATAGGAGAGGCTCTGTTTGTAAAAGAAAGCCTACAGCTCTTGCAGAAGTTTTTGGATGATGTCCACGCCTACTATGATACAGAAATCTTAACTTCAAATTTCCAGGAACCAGCAGAAGCTGAGAAACAGATCAATAGTTATGTAGAGAAGAAGACCCAAGGGAAAATCACAAACTTGGTCAAGGGCCTTAGCCCAGAAACTGCACTGGTTCTAGTTAACTACATTATTTTTGGTGGTAAGCTATCAGGGACTGCGGGTGGGTACAGACAAGAGGTGCAAAGAAGCGAACTGAAGCAAAACAATCCATTCTTCTGCCTCGTGCACCTCATGAAGCTGAGGTGGGATTGTCCACAAACGTCGAGTCCAGCCCAGGTGTGTCGTGCACGCCTGCATAGCACCAGCGCCCCTGAAGCCAGCCCAAAGCCTGGCATGGCTGCTTCGGCTGACTTCCTAGTGACCCATCCAGTCCTCGCTGCCGATGCTACAAAAGTAATATGATGTCTGAATAGTGAATTATGGCCTAACTCCCCCCCACCCCCCACCCTAGCATTTCTATTTCTTCTTGCTTTCTTTCCTCTAAAAGCATTGGATCTGGAACGGAGTCATAATGCATGGGAAAGGACTTCATCCCCACATCATTATAGGAATATTCATATGTTTTGTCCTGTGGAACAGCAGTCACAAAACATAGTGCCAAAGCGAGCATGAAAACTGGACAAGGGGAAACAATTAACCCCCACTTCCTGACCCCTGTTGGCCAGCTCTAGGGCTCCAGTCAAGTGTTCTTTCCCCAGCTGCCCAGCAGCATGTTCAGGCATGGAATTGTTACGTCAGATTCAGCGACCAGGGCGTAACAGCCTTTGGGCATGGGACGGGGGACTGTTTCTACACATGGATGGCCTTTCTGTGTTTGGTGATCACCAGGAGATTCCCGTTGAAGGGCTCCTAGCACAACCAGTCAGAAGGCATAGCATAGCTACTTTTCCTTAATGGGTTTCCCACAGAAAAGAAAAAGGTACAGAACACAGTGGGGAAAACAGGACTAGTACAAATGGAAGACAGTGTGATTTTCCCGTACATAAAATGCCATGACCAACACAAGAGACCTTCTCTGGAAACACTTTTTTAAAGTGAACTGCTGAGAATGCTTAGAACAGAACTAAAGGGTCTGAATAGATATAATGCAAACTTTATTTCATTTTTTGTGGGGTGGGGGAGTGGAAAACAGAACCAGAGCAGTTTCTCTGACATAAGTGTGCTGCTGCTGCTGCTGTGTTCAGATAAACCAGTACCCAAGACAGGGACCAGAGAAGCAGTCCAAACTGTTGTCACACTGCAATATGGGTTCCCCTCCATGAGGCATTCATTGCATGCATGTGTTCCCTTACTCACAGAAGTTTTCAGGGCCTTTTCATAATGCTGTCATTCTTCTGTGCCTCTTCTGCATTTTCCAGCCGTTTCCCTGGGCTTTTTGAATAAAGAAAGTACAGTAATAAATTTCAACCTGGAACAAACAGGAATGGAAGCTTCGTGTCAAGTACTGCAGCTACAACGCACTGCCACTTAGTGTTAGTTAACAGAATATACAGAAAGGCTGAGCACTACAAGCCCCAGGAGAAACCCTTGTGTTTCTCCCTGTAGTGAAAGCAGAAGAAGCCTCAGTAAAGCTGCAGGTTAAACCCACCCCCTGCCCCAATCTAGGGAACCGCTAGACTTCCCAGTGACTCCCCTGGCTCAAGTACTACTAGCTCATGAGTACAATCTGAAAAACAAATGGGCAGATCTGAGGGGCATCTCCTGATTTCACATCAATCTTTTTCTTTTTAAGGTTGAACATACAGTATAATGCTTCACAGATATGACTGTGTGCCTCTTCTTTTTCTCATTTAGGTGCCTGGAAGAAACCTTTTGATTCAAAATTTACAACAGAAAAGGACTTCATTCTGGCTGATGGAACCAAGGTCAAAGTCCCCATGATGGCCGGGTCGGGGTGGTTCCACTACCTCTTTGATGAGGAGCTTTCCTGCACAGTGTTACAGCTGGACTACAATGGTAGTGCCATTGCATATTTTGTCTTGCCGGATGCTGGAAAAATGGAGCAGTTAGAGAAGGCACTTTCCATGGATATTCTCGTCAAATGGGCGCAACGCATTCAGCGGTAATGCTTGTACTACTATTTCTACATTTTGCAAGATGTTTGTGGGCAACGAGTTGCAAACCTGTAGTGCCTGGTTTGGATTTGCCATTATCCACACCAAGTGGCCTAATTCTGCAAATGTTTTTCAACATAAAATTTCACAGTATCTGGGATGCACAAGGGCTTAGAAAAATTGTCTTCATACAGTCTCTGCTATTCTAAACAAACTTACTAGGAAATAAATTTCTAATACATTGATTCTTACCTCTGAGAATTAAACTAGTCCTACTGCCATGCACAGAATTGCTAATTTGAGTAATGGGAAGGAAAACTTCTACTGGCAAGCAATGAAAAGTCCAGGTGTGAGATGTGGACCAGGGCCATATTGTGGGGAGATTATCTCCATACAATTTAGTCCTCCAAAGTTCCAATCCAGATTGTTCCCCATGCAGGCTCTTCAGCCATTAAAATCATTCACCCAATGGTTAATTGAATGACATCACACCTAGTTCATCCACTCCAAATCCTTAAATTAATTTATCAGTTCTCATAAACATTTATAAGGTTTTCAGATAAAAGAATATGAGTGCCTTGGTGTTTGTCAAACACATTTATAATATAATTGCACACCAATTTGAAATGGTGCAATAAAAATGCAATCTTTGGACATTTTACTTCAGACATTTGATTTCTCTTGATTTTTCAAAGGTAAAAATAAAAAGGTAAGTATCAGTTTGGTTCCAGTAGTGTCTAAAATGAGGAAGGACATCAAACTGACATCCACAAGCAGATTTATGGTAGGAGAGAGATCCCATGCATGTATTGTATGGATAGCAGTTAAATGACCCTTGGAGTCATTTTTCATGCTAGTCAATTGGACTGCTGGATTTTATTTTAGCACCAAGTTTTGCGGTCATCAAACTGTGCTGAGAATCATATCAAATCCTAGTGAATCCATGAGATCTTGCTTTCAATCTCACCCTTTTTTAAAAAACCGCTGACGTACTTCCCTGTATCTCTGTGTTTCTTAAGTAAAACAGCACAGGTGTTCCTTCCAAAGTTCAACATTTCATCCAGCTATGAGCTGAAGGAGATCCTCAGCAAAATGGGTATTACGGATATCTTCACGGATCGGGCTGATCTGTCTGGAATCACTGGGCAACCTTTGAAGGTGACAAAGGTAAGTCTAAAACAATGATTTATTCATCGGAATTCCCTTTGAGCTGGATATTGATGCCACGGCAGCATGATATTCTGGTGCACTGAATTAACTGTATATTACTCTCTTAAATATACTCCCATCTCCAATTCCCCCCACCATAGTCTCTAATCTCCCAGACTCAAGGAAATCCTGCACAGGACTGCATTAGAAGCCATTCAAGGTTGCAGACACAACTTCCATTATCAAAGGTTGCATACCTGCATGGACAAGTTGCTGAAGAACTTGGGCAGGTGGGGGTCTTGCACCCATCCTGCTTGAGGGATGCTGTGGCCAGCAGGTTTGCCATCATGGGAAGGGAGTTCTGGGATGGATGAACCATTAGTCTGAGACAGCAGAATATAAGGTTCTTATATTCTGAACCTTGTGAGGCATCTACTTTCATCAATCAAGGTTCAACTAATGCTTCCAATTATTACACATAATATAAATTTTATTTATTTACTTATTTAAAACATTTATATGCCGCCCCCATTGCAACAAAGCCTCGGGGCAGCTCACGACATACCACTCTTTCACTCAAAGCATTACCCCAACAGCACCATAGACTAGACTAGACTAGTGGCAGTTCTACCTGCTTTGCAACAATTCCCTACCTAAAAAATTGAACTGCACTGGAGATTCAGGTAAGAATGGACATAACTACATTTCACTTCCTGGAACATTCACATTATTTAAAGCATATTTTATTTTACCGACTTTCTATCCAGAATATTTTTTATTTTTAAAAGCAATCCATACAGTAATCTGTGTGCATGAAAACTGCTGCATATTCTTGTACATTATTTTCCCTAAAATGCATTATTTTCTGCAAGCCCCTTTTCCTAATATATGTGTGTACTAATGTGTATATGTTTACATGGAATTTTCCTAATTTAAGCACTTTTTATCAGAGAGTGGCATCACAAACACTGAAGAATACTTGTGGAATTGTGAATATGTGAACCAAATCACTTTTGACTCAGTCTTCACTACTGCATAACATTCTTTGTGGGTTTCTTTGTGAGTTGATGATACCCAATCAAATAGTTCCCATTATCTCCCTTAGAAGATCCCCAAAGAACACAAGGGGCTTCTTCTACCCAGGCTGCAGAGAAGGAGAAAACTAACATCTTGATAACCTTGAAGGGGGATGCACTGAACATCTGGCTTTTTCAGACAGGTTTCTTTTGAAGCAGCCTGCCACTCTAAGCTTTTTCCCATCCACAGAGGTCAACAAGAGAAAAGGATATAGAAAAGCTCTGATGCATTTGGAGCACTGAGAAGACTTATTTTTTCAAGTTCTTATTATTTTAAACAATTAATCATTCAAAAGACATTGGACATACTGGGTTATTATCTTATTCTCTCTACAGTTAATATATATTTCAGTCCTAAGTATAATCCCACTTCTCTAGCCATTGATTAAAGAAGTCACAAGATTGGTAAAAATACATTTCTTCTTCCTCCTTGAGAGACAATCTGTCCATTTCTAGCATTGAGCAGACTTTTTGAAGGCAGCTTATAGAAAACAGCAACCATCCCATCCTTCAAAGTTTGGGAAAACCAAAGGTGGTGTCACCTGTAAGGCAGGCCCATTCCAGAATAGCAACCAACCTCGTTGGTCTGTACTACCACATTCAGGGAAGGGCAAGAGGTCTGTCTGAATCTAGAAATCCATCAGATTCCCTGGACTTGGCTCCCTGGACTCCAGCCTACTTTCCTGAAGCAGTGAGCCCAACTTCCTGGGGAGCACGCCAAGCGTCTGTGCAGGTGCCCACCAAGAAGCAAGCCTGAACAAACACCAAGCAAGCAGGGTCCCCCTTCCACGCACAGGACTTGCGGCCTTTGTTGTGTTGCCCACGCTGCAGAAGAAGAAGGTTGCTGGCTGTGACTTTTGCGAGCAATTGCCTGCTCCCTCTCAGGTCTGTTCACTTCCTGAGCAAGGGATGAGCACAAGAAGAAATGCAATGAGCAGAAGAGGGCCCAAATTACAGGAAGGATTGTCACAACCCTACTTTAGGGCAGGGGTGTTGAAGTGCAGGCTTCCAGCCAAGTCAAGCCCACCTGGGCTCCCAGTCTGGCATACTGGGCTCCCCCTGATGGCTACCCCCAACTGCCAACCATCTGGTGGTTTTCTCAGCCTTTGAAGCCCCTCTCATTCCAAAAGGCTGAAATGTCTCTCCTAAGGGTTAGTTACTGGCAGCAAGGCCTCCAAGCTAAAATAGCTGTGATGGGGGCAGAGTTGCCACTTTGCTCTTGTCCCTTGCCTTTGCCCCCTCCACTCGTGCCTTCTTCTCTGCCTCCCATGGGATCGCAGTGCCCAGTTGGCCGAAACTGATTTTCTTCCTGGGCAAGAAAGGTTCTACATCTCCTCCTCAAGGGGTTCTGATTTAGGTGGTGCCCATCTTTCTTTGCCAAAAGATCCCTTTGAAAAAAATAAATAGCCTGCTGAAGAATTCCTTGTTTTCCCAGGTTTTGATAGGAGCATTGCAGTCATTAACTATTAAATGAGGAACTTGTGATGTAGGGCGTTTGGCAGAAAAGGATGGTGGGATGTGGCTGGCCCCTGCTGCTTCTGAGATTATCTGAGGGGAAAGACAGTGGCTCTGACTGAATTCCGCTTTATTTACACTGGTTGAGGGGTCTCTGGGCAAAATGTCCTTTGCTGAGTCTCCTCTTTCACTGATGGAGCCACTAAGGCTTACCCTGTACTGGTGGCAAGACCAGCATTCCATGGGTGGGACAGATCTCCCATTTGAATTGCCCACAATGCTCTGCACTCTTCACACAGTATCATGCCAGGCACCATCACATATTTATACAGAGGCCAAAACAGATATGAGGGATTGAAAGAGCTGAATATGAAAAGAAGTTCAGCCAAAGATTCAGACATTTGGATGTTATTTTCAAAATTATCCTCCTTAGCTGCAGCCAAGTCAAATACCTACCAAACATCCCACCTGAGCTGCCCTGGCTGCTGTAGCCTCCCTTACCTGTTTCTTTCTCACAGTGCCCACAGGACCACGTGTATGATTAGCCATGAAGTGACTGAGTCTCTGGCCAAAACCACATGGCTTGCCAGAGCTGATGGCCAAGAGGGCAGTGAAGACAGTCCTGCCAGTTACAAAGGAGCTGAGCTCAGCTAAACCTTGGGGTATCCGTTCTCCCCCCAGACTCTGACCCTTTGCTTTGTTTCTTCACAGATATCCCATAGGGCTGTGGTGACTGTTGATGAGAGTGGTACTGAGGCGGCAGCTGCTGGTGCTATAGAAATGATACCTATGTCTATTCCTCCAACCCTTTCTTTCCACCATGAGTTTCTGTTCCTAATTATGCATCCAGACACCAGGAGTTTGCTCTTTATTGGCAAAATGGTCAACCCAGAAAATGAGGCATAAGCAGCAAAGTACCGGGAATTCTGAATGAAGCACTAGAAAAAAGTTCCTTTGTAACCTGAATTTAATTCTGCCTTTTTTCTCCCTGCAAAAGCAGCACAGAATGAGATGGCGGTGGTGCCAGGGATAGGAAAATAGAAATAGCTGCGGAACCTCGGTTGCCACTGGCTTTCCATGCCCCCTTCAAAGCATGGGCAGTAATCTGTTTTCATTCTCCTGAAACAAATAAGAGGTCAAAAGAAATCTGCAAGTATGCAAAAATCTGCAAAAATAGTTCCATGATAAAAACTGCAAGGTTTGCCGTCAAATTACCTATGGTTTCAGTAGTGCTCTTTGCTATTTTTCCAAGAGAGAAAAGTTTTGACTACAAAAATTCAGTGGGAAATTTGGCTTACTAATTCAAAAATGTATAATTCAATGTACTACTAAAATGATCACAGAAGGATAAAACGTAAAACTTGCCTTAATAATTAAGATTTGAGCTCACATCAGTTCCAGCCACCATGACTCATGGTCAGGGATGATGGGGGTTGTGATCCAAATATCTGGAGGGAAATTAGGTTGGAGAAGGCTGATTTACTATATACAAAGAGATAATTTCAGATAGCTCCAGTTAGTTCTAATTGGCAGTCTTGTTATACATTTGCATATCCAATAGTAAATATATAAGCCATATTATTTGGCTTATATATTTGGGAGAGCCAGTGTAGTGTAGTGGTGAAGAGCGTGGGACTGGGACTCAGACGATCTGGGTTCTAGTCCCCGCTCAGCCATGGAGCCAACTGGGAGACTTTGGGCCAGTCATTCTCAGCCCAACCTACCTCACAGGGTTGTTGTGGGGATAAGATGGAGGAGGAGATGTAAGCTGCCTTGAGTCCTTTGTAGGAAAAAGGCAGGATATAAATCGAAAAATAAATAAATAAATAAATAAAACATGTATGAACAGCTCTGCTGGATTGATTGATTGATTCTATTTCTATAAGGCCCAATAATCAAAGCTGCCTGGATAGTGCACAACAATTAAAGCCATAAAATACACTATAAAAATGAAAAGTTGAAAACCATGTAAAGTAGAAATAGAACCCAAAGCAAAACCTAGCAGCCATCCAAGATTTAAAATATAGCACCCTGTGGGATACGATATAGAACAATTCTATCTCCTCCCAAGATCATGAGGGAGGTGATAGGAGGAAATGATGTCCCGGCTCCAAGATCCTGCAACCTTCAAGTGCTGACTCGGAAGCTCAAGCCCCACATGACCACCCTCGCAGCCACTGTGGAAAGAGCCTCACCTGCTGCTGCCAGCAAGAGGGGGCCTCAGAGAGAGCAAGAGGGGGCATGCGCTCGCACAATGGCGGTCTAGATAAAATGCATGGCATGAGGTGTGGTGGGGGCAGAGACTGCTGCCAGACCTCATTCCATGGGATGCATGGACGTCTCCAGGTTCAGAAGCTACCTGTGCAGCTAAACCACAGGACCATCCTTCAGGAGGTTAATAGAAAATTATCATTTCTGTATAGGCCATAGCTGAAGCTGTCCGAGCTGTTCACAACAGGATATAACAATAATAAAATGCAATACATAAAACAGCGTTTAAGAATAAAAAATAAACAAAATAGCATTAAAACACGTTAATTAAAATGAAAAAGACCTGGCCACCTAGATAAACCCATCAGGCTCCTGGATGACCAGGGCGGTCTTTAAAGGCCTTTAAGATGGCTGTCTTAACCAGTTGCCAAACTGATGGCGAATTCAGTGCCAGCAGGCTGTAGCAGGAAGGTTGTTCCCAACATGGGGGCCACCACAGAAAAGGCCCTTTCATAGAGAAATGTACCAGATTTTCCCATCTATAAGACGCCCCCATGTATAGGATGCCCCCCCACTTTTCTTACCGATCTCCGAGTGAGCAAGCTGCTGCCTCGCAGCCTTCCCCCAGCGCGCCCGCGATCGCACCAGTCTCCCCCACCAGTGCACCCGTGATTGTGCCAGTCTCCCCCCTGAGCGCACCTGCGGTCACGACCATCCCCCCCCCCCCACGAGTGCCTGCCGCCGCCGCTGTTCAACTGACCCCCTGTTGAAAAAAGTTTGAGGACCCCTGGGCTACACGCTCTCCGCAGCATCAGCTGTAAGGCTCATGATTGGAGGAAACCTGTTCGCTTGCCTCTGCAATCGGAAGTTCCGCTCGCAAGGCTAGTTTGCAGATATAAGGTATCGGCAGTTTCGCAACTGCGGTTCTCCTCTCAGCCACCCGTGCATAAGGCGCCCCTCCACTTTTAGGTAAATATTTTTAAGAAAAAGTATTGTCTTATACATGGAAAAATCCGGTAGATATCTAGTGGTGGTGGGAACCCTGTAAAAATATATTTTTCTTCTTGCAACAAATCTCCTGCAAGCAGCAGGTTAAACCCCTCATGTAGAGAAGCCCTAGGTATGTACAGTGGCATTCTAGCTATTCTGTAACTCGGTCGCTACTCACTTTGCAACTCCAAAAATATCTGTGGGTGGGTGAGCTGCCCATAATTCAGCAGTGTTTGCTCTGCTTTTTCCAGATGGGTAACTAATTCTGCCCAAACTAAACTGAGCAACTGGTACGAAGACCTGCATACAAACCTGCATGTTCAGAAGTGCTCTCTCTCCCTCCAAACGCCATGACATGCAGTTGAACTCATGTTCTCAGGGAAAGAGACTATGATGCCATTTGGCAGGCTGGAGAGAAGGCCCAATGTGCTGAGAAAGATGGGGCAGTGGCCACTGGCAACCCAGTTCTCCTGGGACACCAGCACATGAAGAGGTCTCTCCTCACTTTCTGATTTCCTGGAAGAATTAGTCCTCAAGCTGTGGACTGAATTCAGACTTGCCCTGTTTCCCTCTAAAATTCCAGCTGTCATTGCCAACAACAGTCTGATCCTCAGGATAGGCTACGGTTACACACACATCAGGAGAAATCTTCTTTGGTGTGTGGTGTTCCCAGTGCAAAAATGAATTCTGATGGGTGTGGAGTTGGGCTGCATCAGCACATGGATGATCCTTTTTGTGGAAGTGGCTGGAATATGAATAGCTGGGGTTGTTGTGTGTGGACGTGTCCGGCCTTGCCTGGGGATTTTACAAGATGGGATCATCTTGGCAATTAGTCTGATTGTGGCAACATCCACAGATGGTAACTGGCAGCAGGCGCCCCTGCCCCAAATCTTCCCCAGCTGGGGCTTCGACTTCCCACAGCTGCACAACTGTACATGTTTGTGGTTGCACGCATGAGGCTGAAAGTTTGGCACATTTTTGAAGGCTGCACAGCTGAAGGCGACCCCTCTGAGGCTGGGGGTGCCCTGAAAAGACCGCCCATGGCTATCAAAATGGGGGTCATGAAAGCTGGTTTTTCATAATCTCTAGAAACACATCCTATACCTGCATATTCAGAGGCAAACCCATCTCGGTTCAATGAGGTTTATTCCTACGTGTTCCTGGGCAGGGGGAGTGTGTCCCTGTTGCTTCTGGTGAATGTTTTGCTGGCTTTAAACAGCATCGGTCATGGTATTCTTCTGGGGTATCTGGTTGAGATGGGACTGGGAGGCACAGTCATGTACCGGCTCTAGTCCTTCTTGGAGAGGTGATTCCAGAAGGTGGTGCTGGGGATCCTTATCTGACAGAAACCCTGTAGTGCCCCTCAGCTTTGTATCTTCTCTCTCATGCCATTTAACATATAGGAAACCAGATTGCTCAGAGTCTTGGGGTTCAGTGCCACCAGTCTGCTGCTGACACACAGTTCTGTGTCTCATTCCATCTACATCCAAAGAAGCTGTTCTGTTTCTAAACTGGTAACTGATGGCACTAAAGACAAGATGATGGCAAACCAATTTCTGGTTTAATCCAGGCAAGACAGAAGTTCTCCTGGTCAGCCGGAAGGTAGCTCAACCTTAACTCCTTCTGGAGAGGCCCTTTCCATTGAAACCACCACCATCCAAGGTGGGCACAGAGGAGCCTTCTCAGCGGCGGCCCCTCATTTGTGGAATTCACTCCACGGCACTTAGAGTCCTTCCCCTCCTGATACTCAAATGGACCCTTAGACCTCATCTTTTTATTACACCAGGTTGCCTTTGGCTAAGGGTAGTTTTATTTGTTCATGCTGTAGATTGTTTATCTGGCTGATTCAAAGGATTTATGGGATATTGCTGCTGCATTGTAATGTTATATAGCTTCATTCTTGCTCTCTTTTGTAAGTCACTGGGAGCAATTATTTTAGTATCAATAATTATGCATGCAAGCACATATGCAAACACATGTAAGAGATGTAAAACTTGGGAAAAATGTGTGATGGAAGGACTGTAGTGCACAGAGCAAAAACAGAGAGAGGAGGCAAGCAAACCACCAAATTTAAGTTACTAGTGCCACCAAGTGGAAGTCGGTATTTTTCCAGCCTGCTTCCACTAATACAGGTCTCTGACTTCTGCAACTTATTTACTGAGCTAGATGACGCATTTAGTGGATGAGGTGATAAGGGAAGAGAGTGAAAATCAAGATCACCCACCGAGGGTAAGCAGCAGCAAATAAAGGTCTTACTGAAGTTTCTGCTATAGGGACATCTGTATGCTTTGGTTCAATGCTCTGAAACTACAGCAGTTCGTTTCTGGCCAGAGAACAGCTTGCCACCAAGTGGGTTCTTTAATGGGTCAGAGCAGTGCTTTTTTTGTAAGAAAAAAGGTGCCGGAACTCATGAAATTACTTACCTTTTGCACGTAGTCAATCACTGTACACACACCCACACATTTCAGTTGTGTAATGAAACATAACGGTGGCCACCCACAGGAAGCACTCAGTGCACAACCACACGACAAATCACAACCTGAGCAGTGCCAACACAACCAGCGCAGATGAAGTCTGCATGCATCGGATTCGACACACAAGCGGCCCGCATGCACCGTTTCAATGATTTTACCGCCGACCTGCTACACTCGACAGGGCAATTCAAATCCACATGGACCAAACATCAAATTTTCTAAAGTTACTTTTAAAACTTGGAAAATCTGTCAAAAAATGGTGCCGGAACTCCGTTCCGGTGCATTCTATGACAAAAAAAGCAGTGGGTCAGAGAGCGAACAGGCCTGCAGTGACATCCAGTGTTCTAGCTGGATCGGAACATGGCAAGTTACCTTTCTGCTTTTCTACCTGAGTGGATGCCAAAAAATAGCCAGGAAGAGCAGGGTGCAGACCGCAGTGGGAGGGGGCAGGCAACGCGTTTTGCCTGCACCCGCTGCCAGCCCTGCCAGACAGCATTCCTTCTGCCAGCCAGCTCATCCACACCTTCTCCCTCCTCTTGGCTATTCGGCAGTATAAAAGTGAAATGCATCAACAGAGTGGCAGTGACACCAGGAGCTTCTCCCCTCAGACGGTGCCAAAGCAGGCCCCACAATGCAACATTTTGCAACAGCCTTTTTGGAACTTGCATGTTGATCTGAAACCCTCCGATGCCGCCCTT